TATTTTTTCCCATCTGAGTGATAGCAAAGGATCGCGGAATATCATGGCATGGAAACTTCACGGCATTTTGAAAGCTAGAATTCAAAATAGAAAAGGTCGTATCAGTCCACACAATGCGTTTGTATATAATTGTATTTCTTTTTAGTTATGGTTGGATTATACCGGCGGCCGTATATGCATTAGTCTCAGATGCTGAAACGAAATATGATTTTGAATAAATACTTCAGCTGATTTGACATAATTTGCCGTCCTTTGCACGCTGTCATCTATTGCTCTGTTATTAAAATTATCTTGAAATATAGTCTAGTAATGTTCACCGTTACGAACTGTATAATTGGTTCATTCGAATAATTCAGAAAATAGTTTCATAATGCGTCTCCCTGTGATGTTATAAACCAGCCTATTTTCTTCGTCTGGATTTCTCGTTGAACGTTACGCTAACTAACGTGTAATTTTAACACACACACACACACACACACACACACACACACACACACACACACACACACACACACACACACACACACACACACACACACACACACAACACACAACACACACACACACACACACACACACACACACACACACACACACACACACACATGCACATACAGATTCAGCTACCTATACACATATGCGCAAAATAACATCGAACCCAGCTACATAATCAATTCACGTTGCGGGGCAGTGACCCTGTATAGATGTTACTATAATATATATATATATATATATATATATATATATATATATATATATATATATATATATAGAGAGAGAGAGAGAGAGAGAGAGAGAGAGAGAGAGAGAGAGAGAGAGAGAGAGAGTGACTTTAAATGTCAGCAGAAAAAGCGGCCATTGAAACAGCTGTTCCTAATCCACAAGGTAACATATGTACAAAAAATGAATGCAAACATAAAATAGTTTAGAAAATTCAATGCCATGTTCATTGCATTTCAATTTTAAATGATGATATTTAAGACAGATGACATCGTTTTAGGAAAAAAATAAGCTCGTAACCTCATACTTCAAAAAAAAAAAAAAAAAATCTTCATACTGACAGTAATAATTCTTGGAAGAGGAAATTGAATCAAGAATGCATAAGATAAAAATCGCGCTCGTAACCTCATACTGAAATTGAAACACAAAGGTTTACCTCGATTTTAAACTGGTTTATGCATAAAGTATGTTACCTTACAATGGTAAATTGAATGAAATAAATAACTTTCATAATCTGAATTTATTATTCCTGGAACTAAAGGACACAGGGTGAATTTTATTTATTTACAAAATGATCTTGAGCAGTATTAGATATAGATACAGAAATTAGAGGCTTTATCTGCGGCGTCCTTGTTTGCAATTTCTCGCAATTCTTTGAAAATGTTTGCTTCAAATTTCAAGTAATTTCAAGCTTAAGCTCCGCCCATACAGCTGTGCTAAGCTGTCCCTGCCAAATACTTCTTATATTTTATTTTGTAATTGTTCATTTGGCCCTTTAAGGAGTTTTTAAAATATATCTGATGATGAATCGCTTGTGAAAATGCTATTAGATTATACAAAAAGGTATGATGTTTATTTTTAGGTTCAAAATGCCAATAAAACGTAGACAACATTGATAAATGGGTGATAAATGATCGTTTGATTTTTTTACGTGACTTATATTTATCATTAAACTCGTAGGAGATTTATGATATTTTTTATTATAAGAAACAAGAATTTATAATGATATAGCACGGTAGGAATGTGAACGTCAATCAAGTAACTTATGCAAATGCTTATGCAAATTGTTTATAGGACAGTCAGATTATAACCCATATTTCTAGCATGTGATGTGGCGTTGGGTGCAAGCCATTCAAAACTCAATTAACATAATGACCATATCGTGAATTTTTATTTTTTTATTTTTTTTTTATTTATTTATTTATTTTTTTTGAAGCGGTACCACACTTTGATGCGATTGTTTTTCGTACGCCCGACATCGCCGATGCTTCGCCCACACAACTTGAAATAATTGCAAGTATTTGGCGCTGCAGATGAAGCCTTTGCTTGATCGAGTAAAAGTAATACGTATAACACGCAATAATTACATTTGTTAGCAAAATTATAAAATTGATAGCTATTATAAATTAAGTATAAACCTATTTTCAAGATATTCACAAAACTTCGTATTATCTCCTGAAGTGATACTAAGTATAAAGTCTAACTACAGAGAACAAAAACCTACCTAATATTTACACGCTAAAATTATACAATCATACAACACTACACGTAAATCAAAATATAAATAATACATATGAATAATAACAATACATTTTCACGTCCTTACGGCGCTGAATATCCATTCCACTATGAATAGATTTAACCCAAACCTTCAAATAATATAGACCATTAAAGTTTCCAATTTAACATTTAACTTCTTCAATACAAGTTGCGAAATTGCACTACAACAAACACTAAACAGGAGTCAACTCTGTTCCCAAGTTTGTATGTTCCCAAGACAGCGTAAGTTAGGTTAGCGTTTGGTTGCTCTAAGTGGAGTTTCGGCTGAGGTAAGTTAGGTTTGGTTAAAATAAGCTGAAGTAAATGTTAGGGTTAAGTTGAGTTAAGTTTTGTAAAATCACGTTAAGTGAATTGAATATTAGGTTGAGTCTAGTTAGGTTTGGTTAAAATAAATTGGGATTGGTTGAATTAAATTATATGAAGTTAATGTTAGGCTGGGTTAAGGCAGGTTTGGAAAAGTAATTGTTAAAAAAAGTAGCTAAAATGACATGCAAGAAAGGAAATCCCATATAATATTATCTAATGAGATAACAAGCGGATATCAATTGATCTGCAAAATATCATTTACGCTCTCTTAAAAAATATCAACATTTATACTTGAAATATCCATTGAATTATATACCACACTAACAAAATGAAGTGCTGTTCATAGATACAAGATACTAGTTAAACTCACGTACATGAAACAGAGTGCCAAGTCAGCGTAAAACGTTCTTTTTTAAACAGTCAAAAGAGTTATTAATTCTTCAAAACTTGTTCACTCTTTACAGTGGCAAGAGATGCTGTTGTTACTGGAAGATCCCTATATTAATCAGAAATGGGCAATTTGAACACCTCACTCATAAGGCAAATCAGACACTGAGATTACCTGCTTGTTCTATACCTTACTATCCACCCAGTATATGTCCAAAAACGGGCTCCTGATGGTCTTAAAATGTCTTTGAAATATAAAATGACACCCGTGGACAAGGGAAGGGAACACACGACCTGGGAAATAGAGGTCCGAACCCCATTAAAACCACTTCATTATCACATAAAGATTGTTCAGAGTTGACAACAACAAGATATGAGTATAAACCATACATACAGTATATAAACATTGATTCACCAGTATAGATAAATACACAGTGACTGCATATACACACTGGAATTCATATAGAATAATGTAGTATTGTATAGAATGCAAAACTACATCCACCTTTTGCATTCTACAAAGTACAATATAAACACTCATAAAAGTATCTGAAACAGTTCTTAATATTACGACAAAATTGTGTACACATACGTTGTGACGAACCACATATACATAATATGTGCTGATTTTTTGAAGCTGAATCACTGGCTCAGGAAACCATTATTTGAACATATATTCCCACTGAAAATTTCCCAATGTATATATATATATATGTATATGTATATATATGTATATATATATATATATATGTGTGTGTGTGTGTGTGTGTGTGTGTGTGTATATGTATGTATATATATATATATATATATATATATATATATATATATATATATATGTGTGTGTGTGTGTGTGTGTGTGTGTGTGTGTGTGTGTGTGTGTGTGTGTGTGTGTGTGTGTATTTGTATAAAGATAACTTAATCAAAGCCTTACTTTTAATGCATATAAAGTAAGGTATTAAGTGTTGGTATCATACATAACGCATTTCTTTATTCTTTTCGATAGCAGTGCCTTTAAAACGAATAAACAGCAGAATAAACATAACTTCTATTTTTTTTTTGAAGTGTTGACAATGTTATCCATTTCCATTAATTAATTGTCAACGCCCATTTTCGCTTGGGAGTGTGAGAACTTGCTTACTCTGATTCGATTACAAAATAAACCATTAAAAACGAGAACGGCTTGCCTCTGCTTCGGGAAATACCTCTCCTTATTTCCATATTCGTGTTGGATATTCGGATGTTCACCTTCACTTTGTGTAAGTACATTTTGTTCATCATTAAAATCCTGAGGATGGAGGATGTTGAGGAATCCTTGAAAGTATCCTCACCTTCTCTCGTTTATGAAAAAAGCAACATCGTCTAAAGGAAATGAAAATAAAAGAAAAACATCATCTAAAAAAAAGAAAAAAAGAGAAAAAAATGGCTGCCTTTTTATTGGCGAAACGAAATGCTCGGGGAATTTTTTTTCATAAACTTCGAATGATTTTTTTCGCGCCAACTTCACTAAAGGCGCTTAATCCTTCGTCCACGAGAACTTTAGTCGCCTCATTCCCCCCCTCCCCCCCTTTCCCCTCATCGCCCCAGCTTCGTCTTTCGCCAAGCTATTCGTCCAGTCGCTTCATTTTTCCCTCTCTCCTCATCGACTCAGCTTCCTTCTCTCCTCATTCTAGTCCTCCTCCTCCTCCTCCTCCACTTCCTCTTCCTCCTCCTCCTTTCAGCTTCGCCAAGCCACTCGCCTCGTCGCCTCATTCCCATCGCCTCATCTTAGTCTTCCTCCTCGTCGTCTCAGCTTCCCAGTCGCCTCATCCTAATCTTCCTCCTCATTATCTCATCTTCCTCTTCCTCCTCACCGCCTCCTCTTCCTCATCGTCCTCCTCCTCGTCTCCTCTTCCTTCTCACCGCCTCATCTTCCCCATCTTCCTCCTCTTCCTCTTCCTCCTGACCGCCTCATCTCCTCTTCCTCCACCTCCTCCTCATCTTCCTCCTGACCGCCTCATCTTCCCCCTCCTCCTCCTCCCCGCCCCCCT